AATAAACTAATGATGACTGCTAATAAAATCGAATATAAGGACGCACGTTTAGTAATGCTCCTACAGATGCAATAGACCCACAAGCCAGATAGCCTTACATATTCTTGGAGTCTTTTCTTTCCTCCTGTCGGGTAAGTCTTGCTGAGTACAATTGAGTACTCAGGGTTTTATTTCCCCCTGTTGCAGGTGATAGGTGGATGCTAGAGCTGACTCTTGTGTGTGGATTCCTTCTGGTGGGCTCAGAGGGGATTCCTTTACGCTGCGATAATAGTTTTTATTTATAACTCTCACCAAATGTTTTTATAAATAGAAGTTTTATAATCTGTTGTCATAGTTTAAATATCAATGTTCATCATGCTATGAATAGATATTTATTTCCGTTGTAGCTCTGATCACATATTTATATTCTGCTGTTAAATTAAATTATTCATAACTCTGATAACATGATCATATGCTGCTATTATAAACAATTAATATTATATTATGGTGTTGTATTAAAAGTGATGTAAGAAATAACTAAAATGTTGTAAGCTTTATTTTCTCATTTGTGATTCGGATGGAAAAATGTGGATTTTTGGGTTCTTCCATTGGGTGTGCTCGACGGAACTGCGTAATTTAGTGTTCTCCCTTGAGTACTTAGTGTCTAATGCGAGACGAGTACTCCTGTGAGGCATTAGATTAGGTGGTTCTTCCATAGTACGTCACCAGGACCCTATATCCCCATCTGTCTTCCCTTCCTGCTGTGCAAAATGGAACACCTAAACCCAAATCCTAACAGCAGCACGTGGGCGAAGACGACCACAGCTAATCCTAGCAGAAGCACATGGACGACGACAACCAGCGAAGCCGTTACCGAATCATCCCGCTCGAGTCTCCGTGGCGCCGCACCCTCCCCACTGACGCCTCAGGTCTCCATCTCCACTGACACACGCCAGGCACCCCGAATCAGGACGCCGCTCCGACGTGTGTTGCAACAGATCGCTGATCTCGCCACCTGCAGTCCACGGAGCCTGCAACAGATCGGCGATCATGGCAAGCGGTCGAGCTCCTTAGCATGAACCACCAGCCCACCACTACTAGCTGGGAAGCACAAGCATCACTCCCACGAACTCCTGCGCCGCACCGCCATTGCCAGGCGTGAGCTCGCTCTGGCGAACAGCCAGTCCCAGGCTTGCTCCTCCGCACTTGGTAAGCCGCAGGTGAGCTTCCTCGCACCCCTGCGCTCCTTCTTCACGCACGCACGTGCGCGCAAGGCACACTGCGCAATAGCAAGGTCATGTTGCTGGGAAATGGCCGCCGAGCACCGGTCGTGCTCTGTTCCATGCTCTGCGAGCGTTCCTAGCTTGTTAGCTTGATGACATCTGGATGACATGTCCATGCTTTCTTGTCGTTTTCCTTTAGAAGAATAAAAGAGGAAATACACTGGATATACAAGGACCCATACTCTTCAGCATGGGCTTGGTCCATGGTGGACCGCTCACACGCCACACCGCCGGTCCATGGTTCATGGATCCAGTCCGCAGCATAGTCAATGCGCGCTTTGCAAACTGGCCTCTCTGTTTCTGTTGAATTCAGTCACTATTCCCTATCTCTTGGAAAACTCACTAACTACCCTGCCATCTCCAGTTAATCCCAGAAATAGACCCTGCCAGCCATACATACACCTTAGTTTGCAGGTATAGATGGGTCTTTGTTTTTAGAAGCAACTTGTTTTGGTTCATGACCTGTGTAATTTGTGGTGACAATGTGATGTCCTGTTCTGCATCCTGTATCCTGCTGCAAATTTTACAAATGAATAAGAAAAATTGCTTCTAAGAAATTAACTTATGTGTCCGCTTTCAGGCAGCTCGAGAGTATAATACACTGAAAAAATATAATAGTATTATGAAGCATCACATGGACATGAGATTCTGTGTAAGCACATTTTTATAATTACTAGCAAAATTGCCCGTGCATTGCAACGGGGTTAATAAAAACATATACTAATTTTCATTCGACTTAAGATTTAGGTATAAAAGAAATAATTGTTTGTGTCAAAAGATTGAATTTTGTTTGGTGTGTGAACACCCATGGCAATTGTGGTTAGTCTCCTCCACCTCATAGACCTCCTCAAACACCGCTACTATCTCCTCTAGCCCGCCCAAGCAGGGCACGACGTCTTGCACAGAGGTGCCTCATTGCATTTGCGTCAGAAACAAGCTTTGATAGGAATGAAGATGAAAATTCCATGGCTCAAAGGCCATGGTGGCGAGGCAACCGCGTGGTGTTCACGGAGTGCGATGCCATGGAGCGGCGGTGTAGAGCCAAGCTCGGCAATTGGGGGTCCAATCTCTGCAAGCTCAGTGGTCTTGCTATATGTGAAGCATCCCGTTAGGGCCAGCGCCCACGATGAGGCTCTATTTGGGACATTGCTCGTCAGCGATGGATTAGGCGCGGTGCTGGCCTTCCGACCACGCCGCACCCTGTCCTGGATAACGCATTTTACACTGAAAGCAACAACGTACTAGCGCGGTGGGAGTGCACACTTCAGAAGGTATGGAGGAAGCGCGTTGGCGGCAAGACCAAGAGTATGGCCGAGCCATACAGATACACAAGTTTTGTAAGCGGCTAATGCGGCATCGTGCAGGTCACCTATAGGAGTATTAAGCCGGCTTGCATCACTATTTGTAGGGAGATAGACTTGTCACCTGTGGTGGTGTGGCCTCGAGTGCTTTTTGTTCCTACATTGTATTTTATTTGGACAATTTTTTCTTTTAAACTTTAACTCAGTCAATATGTGTCCACTGTACATGGAATTTTTACCATAGATTCTACACATCAATAGAAGATTAGCATAAAAAATTCACTGCAAAAGGACTAAGAAAACATCCTCCATCGGTTTACATGTTTGCTGTTTTGCTAAAAAAAACGAAAAAAGGGCTAGGCTACGGCTCGGCCCAATCTAGTGGCGCAAAAGGCACTTGTGGCAGAGTCGAGCCCAGCAGGAGGCCCAACGTGGGTTGAACTTTTACATTAGAAATCCCCGAGTTTCTCGAATTCAATTTAGATCCTTCCGCCTTTTCTTTCCCTCTTGCACTTTTCCACCTGGAACCCTTTCCTTCTCTTTTATTTCCTTTTCTCATCCTCTTCCCCAAAACAGCGTCCGATCTGACGCAGATCCGTTCAGGTGGAGAATAGATCGGACATGGAGTCTGGACGAAAATTTACATGTGATAAAAATTTTATCTCTTTATTATTAGGTATAGATTAATGTGCTATATTATATTATCTTATTTTTTGTTCTTATAATTATATAAAGTAGGCTAAGTTATACTAATCATGACTCTCTATATCCTTCTCTTTCAGAAAATGTGTGTTTTAATAAAAATGCCAGATTTTCGAAAAAGATACTCTACGAAAGAAATGGCTGCTACGATTGGTGTATGTGAGAATATAGAATACAACTTACAACAGTACAGACACGTAAGTCGCTTGCTCCTGTTTTTATTATTTGTTTTCTATATATTATTCTAATCGCTATCATGTTTATAATTTCTTTTGGCATGGCTACACGTTCGAAAATATATGCTTTACAGTAGAGTTTGTTAGCCTACGATGCTGCGCTCTACTGTTAATTTTACAAACTTTTCTTTTTGATTAAATGCCACTTTAACTTTGATATTTTATTTCGTACATTTTTAGTACAAAATACGCGCACGCTAGCACTTAAGTACAAGTATTTTTATTTATTTACTAGCCCAGCATCCCATTCGACGTGGCCCATTCATCCCTCGAGTTGGCCCAACCTTTGGTAAATTCAGAAAAAAAAAGATGGACTCAGCAGGAATCGAACCCAGGACCAGCGAGTTAAAACCTACCCAGCTAACAGCAGCGCTAGGCGTTCGTGCCTGTAGATGTAGAATTCTATTTCCCTTTTATTCTTATGTATAGAGTAAGTTTTCCTCAAATCAGTTCACGGACTCAGACAGCCAGCCGCCGCGACCATTCACGGACTCAGACACCGCCGCCGACGGCGAGATTAGGCAGGAGCCGCGTTGCCGCTGCCCACCACTGCCGCGCCGTCCAGCAACGTCGCCTCCTCGCCCACCATCACTGCTGCACACCAGCGACATCGCCGCTGCCCTCCAACCCCATCCTGTAGCTCTGCAACACCGCCGCCCTCCATTGCCGCACCAACGAGAGATGCCGAGTGCGGCCATGCGTCCACCTGGTGACAAATCCAACTATTGAGCGGACTCCTACAACCTCGAGCATGACTCAAATCATCAATCGCTGAGCACCTGCCCTCCTGTCTGAAGAGATCCCCATCTGCCTCACCTGAACACCTGCCGACAGCCAAGGTATATCTCTTCTATTTATTTATTTTTTGTTGATTTTGTTGGATGTAGCATTTGAATTGGTTCAGTTTGCTCAATGTGGTTTATCTGCAATGTTTGATTAGATGGATAGAAGTTGGGTGCATAGCACACTATTTTCCCCTAAATGCATTGATGGTGTGAAAGAATTTATGAGTTTCATTCAGGGGAAATTCAATGAGAATGTTGAAATTCTATGCCCCTGTAGCAGATGCCTTAATCAGAAATACCTAAATCAGTCTGTTGTGAAGAAGCATATACTGATGAATGGCATGGAAACTACTTATACTCGGTGGATTCATCATGGAGAGAGCTTAGATGTCAATGTTATTGAGCATCCTATTGATATGCATGAGGATGATGATGGTTCCACACATGGGGTAGGTGTGACAGAGGATGACAACTATGGTGATCGTTTGGAAGGAATTTTAGGAGACCTACAGACTGCAGCGGCACAAGCAAGACCGGATGTAGAAAATTAAGTTGGTACTGAAGAACCTCGTGATAAAGAGTAATTTTTTTTTAAAATTGTCATGAGAGAGGCAAAGCGTCAACTTTATCCTGGCTGTAAGGTTCTCATTTGTGGTAAGGCTTCTGCATATGAAGTCATTATATAAGATCAGCAATTCTGCTTTTTCTGCACACATGAAGCTATTGGCTGAAGCTTTCCCAGAATTCAATATACTCCCAAAATCATATGATGAAGCAAAGAGTATTCTAAAGAAACTAGGTCTTGGATATGAATCAATACATGTGTGCTACAATAATTGTGTGCTGTTCAGAAAGCAATATGCCAAGCTTGACAATTGCCCGGTTTGTGGTCTCTCGAGATGGAAAGATGCGGAAAGAAAGAAGATTCCACAAAAGGTGTTGCGACATTTTCCATTAGCACCTAGGCTAAAGAGGATATTTTCGACCAAAGAAGCATCAGAAGCGGCACAATGGCACAAGTTAAAGCGGCAGCCCATTGAGAAGAATATGAGCCACCCAGCTGATGGTGAGGCATGGCAAGATTTCGACCGTGAATATCCAGATTTTGCAAAGGATGCAAGAAACCTTAGACTTGGCCTAGCTACTGATGGGTTCAATCCTTTTTTAGAAAAGAACACAAAATATAGCATGTGGCCTATGCTTGTTGTGCTATACAACCTAGCACCGTGGGAATGCATGGAGGAGTCAAACTTCATGATGGCTTTGCTTATTCCAGGTCCGAAATCACCAGGGAAGGACTTTGATGTATTTTTAGAGCCTCTTGTGGAGGATTTACTTGAGCTTTGGACAGGTGTCGATACTTATGATGCTATTATTACTGGCAAATCATTTGTGTGCCACCTCCATCGCAAGCTAACGAGAGCCACGCTGGAGAACTCGTTGACAACTTAGATGACCACACACAGGCTGCTATTGAAGGCCAGTTCTACTGCCATATTACTTGGTTTCATTTCATAACCATGAGTCAGCTATGAAAAATGTTTAACCTGCTGTTTTTTTAGACATCACATTTGTACAGCACATAGCCTTTTCCTTTTTGTACCTTGTTTACTAGGTAACAGGATGAACTCGCTCTTAATTGCTGCCATTATTTTTAGGTGATATCTCTGCCCTACTTGACAACACTCACATGACCACTGGGGCTGATGCAATTACCTGGCCTAATCAGCATAGCCGTATGGACGATGGAGGTGATGGTTTCTTAGTGTCATTTCATAAGTTCTGTTTGTATGACTATGATGGATGCATTCTTACTGGCTGCCCTTTTTAGATGGCTTCACCCATCATGATGACAACACCCTCGTGGCTGACGTAGCTGATGGCATTACCCAACATGGTGACCACAACCAGATTACCAACGAAGGTGATAGTTTGTTCATCTGTTTTCCATATTCCATATTGCCTCAGTGGATCAATGTTTGTATGCAAAGCTTTAAATTCATGATCAGCTTGGATCAATGTGTGCTTCACCTCACTAATTTTAATTTCAATGTACATTTCCAACTAGGGGGAGAGGAGAGAAGGGACCGGGTACATAATATGGGACGTGGTCTCCAAAGGTTAAACCGAGCGCACTGTGGCAAGCTGCAAGTTGTCATAACTAAAGGGAATATAAGGCCAGTGGTTCCTCTTATTGCTGCAAAGTTTGCAACTGAATGCAACATCATAGTTAGGAACCATGTGCCTATACTCACGCACCGGAAGCTATACAAGAAAGAACCTGAATCTGCGTTCGTTGATCTATTCATAGGAAAACTAAAGGTACATACATTCTCCAGTCCTTCCCACATTTAGTCTCAATATGAGAACCATTGTTTGTAAACTGTTTTATGCCATAAATTACTGAATTGATATTCTTTTTTATACATGTTCTTCCATTCGGTTAGGCCAAGTTTGACGTAAACACAGAGGATGTGACAGTTAAAAAGGCTTGTCGTGAGATGATGAAGTCTGCAGTTCGCCAACAAAGATACAGGTTGAAGCAAGAATATTTTGATCCTTTTCCACTACATTTGGTTACAAAAACTTCTCTCAAATGCATGACTAATGAACAGTGGATTAAACTTTTAGAGTTATGGAAGAGTCCCAAAAAGATGGTATGTTTTCTCTGAAAAAACAGATTGTTGCCTTGTACATGCTAATTTATCACCAACCTTACATGTATTTTGTCTTTGATGTAGGAGACATGTCAAAAGAACAAAGACAATCGAGGGAATGTTAAGTACCATCATACAACTGGCTCCCATGCCTACATGGTTCATGTTGAAAATTTGGTAAGTGAACCATGTCCATTTGTGTTGCTGCACATATATAAATGGCAAATCTGTGTTGCTGTATAAATCTGGGCTGCACATATATAAATGGCACTTGTTTGGCATTTGTAAATCTGTGCTGCACATATATAAATCTCTGTTGCTGTAGGAGAAATTATTCCTGTGTTGATGTAGTGAGCTTGTTATGACCGGCACCCATTATACAAGGCGTAGGCCCATGTTATGGCAAGCGGAGCCAGCCCAGGGGCCACGTGGCACTGTAGCACGCGGTACTGTAGCGCGTGAACATTAGATTGGTTTGGTTTGTTAGGAAAGAGATATGTTAGATTGATTCGGTTAGGATATTTTCTTAGGGGTCAAGTCAGTCATCTCTATAAAAAGAGAACCCTCTATCAGTTATAGTCAAGCAGAAACAAGAATTGTTTCCGGCTTCCTGAAGGGAGCCGGGATTTCCTAACCCTAGCCGTCTCTGCTTTGTGCTCTCACATGAAATAAAGGCACCGCTTCTGTAGCACCGTGAGAATTCTAGGGCTGCAGCAGCAGCCGCCAGCAGCTCTCGCCGCCACGGCCCCTCGCGCAAGCATCGAGAGTCTGAACCACGTCCTCCTCTCTTCCACCCCTATAACCTATGCAAGAATAACACCGGTAGGGCATCAAGTCCTATCACTGGTATCGAGATGTCGTCCTCCATCCACGCCCACGCCGCCCCGTCCATCTTCGCCTCCACATCCTCGCCATCATCGCCTTGCCCGCCGTCGGCCTTGTCCGGGGTTGTCGTTCGCATCCTCGGGGCGCCCGGACGTTGGAATCTTTGGCACGACGTGGCTGCGATTGCCAGCGGCATGGCGGCGCCATGCGCGAGCGACCACGGCCGCCTCATCCCACCACCTCCCCCCACAACAACAGCATCACCACCACCTCCACAGCCGCCGCACCGGCAGCGATCTTCCCCACGGCATGCCCTGCACCAGCGGGCGGGGTGCCCTCCACTTGTCGGTGGCCGGGCCTCGCCGCTCCCATCCCGTTGTGGGCGATGGGCTCGACGACTCACATCTACACGATGGCCACGACCCTACACGTCGGCGGCACCTTGATCGCGGCGTCCTCCGCACTACCGCCCACCACGACCGGCAACATCTTCTATGGAAGGACGGATGGTACCCTGCGTCTCTGGTGGGCGGGTACTCGTGCGCGCCCTATCCGCATGTCCACCACGCCACCGGTGTCTTCGTTGGCCTTCTTTACATACATATCGGCACACGGCATTGGGCGTCTTTGGCGTCCTCGGGAAGCGTCGCGCCCTCTGCCCCGGCGCCGTCGTCTCCCGCCGCCCTCGTCCTCACCCCGGGCGAGATGACGGCGCAATCTCGAATTAGGCGGTAGCCGTGGCGGGCATCGAGGCCTTCCTCGCCGCGACCACTTGCGCCGGTCATCTCGTATCAATATGGGATGCCCTACGACGGGGCTGCGGCGACCTCGTTCTAGCCATGCCACCGCCGCCCTGTATGCGTTCCCATCCAGCCAGATCAAGTTCCGCCGTCGCCGTCACCGCTTCCGCTTGATCGCGGTTCGTCGAAACCCATCTACACGGCGCCCGATATCAGCCGCACCTACGCCGCTCTCGACCACCGGGGCTGTCTTGGCGCTGGCGGTGCCCGGCTCGGCGTCCTCTCACGGCGGGTGGGCGGCCCCGTTCCACTGGCAGAAGCGACATGATGCCGCGCTCTCCGTCGCCCTTCTTTGCCGACAAAAACGGGCGCGGCGCCCTCGGCCGCCGCACAGGCCCCGTTGGAGTTCGCCACATCACCAATGAAGGCCCCGACTGCCATAACTCCGGTAGTCTCATCACCAGCTTCGCCAACAACCCCGCCAGCACTAGTGTCACCAATGCAGGCGATCGTCCATGCACCGACATTGGTGGACATGGTGCCTTTGTCGCTGCCTCTACGAGCCACAACACCGATCCCTCGCGCAGGGCCGTGGCTGTTTGCATGCGCTTATTTTCCGCCGGCTCAGCAGCAGGCCTTCAAAGCTCCATCGGTCACTTGGAGTACGCCTCAAGCACAACCCCGCTCGGCTGCACCCATAGCGGGGGTGGCCGCTCGTGGAGGGCACCATCGACTCCACGTGCAGGCGCTCCATGCATTCGATCCGGGCGGATTCGATTCCACGCAGATCAGATGGAGCAGCCAAGTTTGGCACCTCGAGGAGGAAGGTCTGTCATGGCGATCTTCTTTGGACTGCAAGGTCTTCTGCCCCAGCAATTGCCACAGCTCGAGGATGAGCTGTCTTGGAGGGGCGGAGTAGTGTTATGGCAAGTGGAGCCGGCCCAGGGCCCACGCGGTACTGTAGCACGTGAAACAGATTAGATTAGATTGGTTTGGTTTGTTAGGAAAGAGATATGTTAGATTAATTCGGTTAGAATATTTCCTTAGGGGTCAAGTCAGTCATCTCTATAAAAAGAGAACCCTGTATCAGTTATAGTCAAGCAAGAAGCAACCATTAAGTTGCTGGCTTCCCCTGGGAGCCAGCCGTCCCTGCGCTCTCTCCCTCGCGTGAACAGTACCCGCGGGTACTGTAGCTCCGTCGCCGCCTCTCCCTCTCAATCCTAGCAGCCACATAACAGAGCTGCTGCTACTTACGATTCTTTTCATTTGAATAGTAGCTGCTGTAACTCAACATTTGATGCACTTGTTTGGCATTTATATTAAGGGCACTTGTTTGGTATTTATAAATCTGTGCATATATATAAATGGCACTTGTTTGGCATTTATAAATCTGTGTTGCTACTGGAGAAATTATTGCTATATTGATGTAGTGAGCTGCTGCTACTTAGGATTCTTTTCATTTCAACAGTAGCCAGTGGTGGAGCGTGACTGAATACTAAGGGGGGCTAATCCACTCATAAACATTAATGTCCTAATTACTACTATAGTAAGCACTACAACATGTGTGTTCATGAAAATTAAGTGATTTAGAACAAGTATTTTCTAGTATTAGTATATGTTTCAATGGTGCCTGAACCGAGTATTATGGTGACATGTCGCTCGCTTTCCACTCCATGCACCCTGTGTTTTTGTGCAGACCTATGAACAGAACAAAACAGCTATCATACTGATCACCTGAGCACTAGCATGAGAAGCTAGCTAGGCAACATGACCAAATAGGCATTCCACGTAATTCATGGCAGGCTACTTGTCTCTACGTAATTTATGGAGCACTTAGCATGAGCACCTGATGCATCTGTGTTTTTTTTTCCATGGAGTTCAACATCAGCTGCTGCTACTTATTTTCTTTATAGTTGAACAGTAGCTTTCCTATATGTTTATGCCTAATTCTCGATATGTGTATGCCTGATTCTGTCCTGATTTTTGTAAGCCCTGATTCATGCCGGACCTGATGCATATAAATGTTGTTTTCAGGGAGACAAATACAATGATGAAGAACCTGATGCATTTGATTTGTTCAAGGAGTTCCACTATAGCAACAAAAAAATGTTATGCCCCTGCTGTACAGGAGGCTATTGTAAGATAACTTTCAGACTTTGCTCTTTATAATGCTTGTTTTTAATTCTCTCATCATCAACCATGTTTGCTACTTGCTTGCTAGACTCAAATGGAAAACAAGCTGTCTACAACAACAGAAGGTGAAGAACTCAAGTCTGCGGCTCAGGTTGTTGGTGATGTGCTTGCTGAGAACACTAAGAATAATAAGTTCTTGCAGAATGTGGGGTTCAAAAATGCCCGGCCTAGATCCAGTGAGCAGAACACTGAGGCAGAACTAGAAGCAGAGAAAAGGGCCAATGCTGAGCTTCGTGTACAGGTGGCTGATTTGTCAAAGAAAGTGCAAGAATCTGAGGAGGCAAGGATTATGGACCGAGAGGAGATGAAGAGGACTCAATCTTATATGGAAGCAAAACTTGATCTTTTGCTCAGTCAAGTTCGACCAAGTTAAGACATGCATGTGCTATATCCTTTGCTACTAACTTCATGCATCTTGTTGCTGCTAACTTGTGTCAAGTCAATTTCGACCAAGTTAAGCTATACATGGTATATCTTTTGCCGCTGCTGCTGGTTGCATTTTGCCGCTGCTGCTGCTTGCATTTTGCTGCTGCTGCTGCTTGCATTTTGTCGCTGCTGCTGCTGCATGCATGCATTTTGCCACTGCTGCATGGAATAAGATGTTGGAGTTGTATGTATTTTCAGAATCTCTATTTGTTGTAAACTGCAAGGTTGAATGGGATGTTGGATGGGAACTTATGTAATCTGACGTTGGATGAAAATTTATGTGATATGTTTGATGGAAGTATAAGATTATTTATTTGATGTGCTACTACATTTATTAGCTTTATGGGGTGTGTATATGTGCTGTATGTGTGAAAATGGGCTGTGTATATGGGCTGTAGTAGTGGGCTGAAAAGTGTGCTAAAAATCGATGACAAATTTGGACTTCAAAATGGCTAAAATTAGGCTGCCAAAATGGCTGAAAAAGAGCTACGAAAATGATTAAAATTGGGCCAAAAATTAGCCCATCTTAGATTTTGGCCTGTTAATAAATGGGCTGAGGTAGTGTCCATGTCATCATCCATGTCAGCATCCAGTAAGCATCCATGATGACATGACAATTCATCCGTGACATTTATTTTTCGTCACATGAAATGGACTTGGGTCGGGCTAACTAGGCCCTGTTCGCTTGAGTTTATCAGCCAGAATCAGCCCTATTTTTCAGCCATGGGAACAATGTTTTCCTCTCATAACAAATCAGCCCTACAAATCAGCCGCAACAGCAATAAGTCCTGCCGAACAGGGCCTAGGTCTCGGGCTCTACCACCGATTCCGTTAATCTGTGATGATTTTTGACAAAACATCACAGAAGTTAATCCATGACGCTCAATCCGTGATGATATCTAAAATCATCATAGATGCTGCTTGGTGACGTTTTTTTCGTGATCCGCGACAAAAAAATTTCATCATGTATTAACAGGATTCTTGTAGTGTAAATTTATCGAACACGCAAAAGAGTAAGTAGTCGCACTATGGACATTTTAGTTCTTCCATCCATTCATGAAAAAACTACACAAGTCGTTTGCCACTCATTTAAAAAAGATTGAGCTCCACTAAAGAAGTTACTTGTTCAAATAGGAGTTATTTGGATTTCCTCCTCTAAACTTTAGAGCTCTAAATTTTAGAGCTAAAGTCTTCAAATAGATGATCTAAAATTACTTGTAAACTTTAGCCCACCTCACACTAAAGCTTTAGACCTTAAAAGTGAACTTAAGTGTTCTAAAGTTTTTAAAGCTCTAAACTCTAGAGGAGGGGATCCAAACAAGTCATAAGTCCTTTGCCATGTGGCTATCAAATGGGCCCTAAGATGGTTTACATATGTAGTAGCCTTCTGTTGATTGGTGTGTACTGTATTCACTGGTCGTTTTATATTTTGGTGACTACATATTTTTCTTTATTTTCGAAGATCTACTCCACCACTCCAACCAACTTCCGAACTTCGAACAATCGAACACATGAATTTGGCGCACATGGCTGGATCCACCTCCGCAGGGCAAAGGTCTGGAAAGGACTGCCAAACCAAAGATGCAGATAATCGTTCTGTTTTTCAGCACTACTTCACCAGTACTCCCTCTATCCCCTAAATGTATGTCATTTTCGTTTTCTGAGAAACAACTTGGACTAAATATATATTAAAAAATATTAATATTTACGATACATAATTAGTATCATTGAATAGATATTTGAATATAGTTTTTTAATAAATTTATTTAGAGATAGAAATGTTGCACGTATTTTTTATAAATCGAATCAAAGCTATCGACACGTAAATCATAACGACTAACATTTAAGGACGAAGGGAGTACTTTTCAGCGAACGAACATTATTTTCCTCTCACAACAAATCAGCCACAGCAACAGTAAATTTCATCGAAACAAACAGGCCAACTAAGCTATCGATACATGAAGAGTGTGACCTCCGTAGAGTGTGGATGACAAGTTGCATGACTCGATGCAAAGTGGTGAGCAAGGCTTGAAGTGATCGCACAAGGTTGCACGGGGTCATTTTCTAATTTCTATACAAAAATTATAAAACAAAAACATATTGTCATATGCAAGTTTATAGAATTTGCTAAACAAGTATAGATGTTTTACAATTATTATATGATAATTCCACACAATATTCATGATAATAATATCTAAATTTGGTTAGAAAATTCTACAAATTGGTATGACAACATATTTCAGGCCCATAAACTTTACATAAAAATTCAATTTATGATTTACAATATTCACAAATAGATACATCTCTCACATAATTTCATATAACTTCGTGAAAGATGTTGCCATTTGTAAGAGATGTGTATAGTAACGCTTTGTTAAAATCATTTGAAAGTTTATAATGGACAAATTGCACACTAAAAACATATTGTCATATAAGTTTGTAGAATTTGCTAACCAAATTTAGATATTATTACAATTATTTAATCTAGGTTGTCATGCAAAAACATGTTTGTACAATTTTCTAACCAAAATACATTGTCATGCAAGTTAGACAAACACACAAAAATTCATTTAAACTATAATTTTTTTTGAAGCTCATATACAGTAACATCTTATATCAATTACTTAGGGGGTGTTTGGTTCTTTAGTCGCTTCTAAAATTTATGTCACATCAAATGTTTAGATACTAATAAAGAGCATTAAATATATATTAATTACAAAATCAATTACATATATGGAGTCTAATTTGCGAGACATTTTTTACGCCTAATTAATCTGTCATTAGCACATGTTTACTGTAGCACAACGTTGTCAAATCATGGACTAATTAGGCTTAAAAGATTCGTCTTGCAAATTAGTCACAAGTTGTGTAATTAGTTTCATAATTAGTCTATATTTAATATTCTATATATATGTCTAAATATTCGATGTGACAAGAATTTTTGGAGCGGCCGTAGAAACCGAACAGGGCTTTAAACCAGAGGGGAACCGGAGGTTTGGCCTTGAACCGGAGCAATAGGCGCTGTTTTCAGTTTACTGGGCTCTAGCCTGTTGCACCGCACGTGATCCTGCAGCGGCTCGGCCCCCGCGCACGCACAGCAGCGTCACGTGTCGGCCGTCGGGTGCCGGCTGGCCGGGATCCTTTCCGCCGTGCGGGAGAGCATCGCCGCGGCGGTGGCTTCCGGAAGTTGCAGCACGACTGCATCGAGAGCTTCCTCGACCTTTCCTCCTTGGGCTGCACCGTGGATTATTGTTCCTTAGGCCAGTGCCCCAGGTCTAATCGTGTCTTCCACAAAACCGCTTATATATATATATAAAACTACTGTTCTGCAGTTGGTCATAGAATAACTTATTCTGTGACCACTTTGAGTTACGATAATTACCATGATAATTTACGAGATTACAGTAACTTCTTACTAAGTGATTTACTATAATATTATTGTAAATATCACCGTGAGTTGTAGTAACACGAGTATCGTAAATACATATTCATGTTATCGTAAATTGATACAAATATTATCGTAAATCAAGATGACTATAGAATAAGTTATTCTATGGCCAGCTGCAGAATATCCTTACCCTATATATATATATATATATATATATATATATTCTGTAGTCACCTCTATTTAAGATAATTCTATATACTAATTTATGATAATGTCAATACATATTTACGATAATTATCAGCCTGTTCGGTTGGCTGGTTCGTGAAGAAGTATTGCTGGCTGGTTTGTGTGAGAAAAATACTGTTCCGGCTGAAAATTTACGATCGTTTACGACAAGCCACAGCCAAACGAACATGCTGTATGTTACTATAACATATAGGGATATTTATCATAACATTATAGTAAATTACTTAGTAAGGAATTACTATAATCATGTAAATTAGTATAATAATTATCGTAACTCAAAAGTGACTACAGAATAAGTTATTTTATAGCCAGCTGCAGGATAACAGTTCTCTCTATATATATAAAATACTAGGGCGGCAACGCCCAGTCCATCCAACCAACAGGGATGTTGAAAAAAAATCGAAAGATTCAATCCATATATTCATATATGGACACTGAATATATGTATTCATATTCATTTTCTCTATTCAATTTTAGACCTGAGTTAAAAAAAAACAATATTATCCATATCCGTGATGTTGTATTTCTTAGCATCACTGCTATTAATGACACTTGTGACTTTGAAAGAATATATATATGAATAATTCTGCAAGCGCACAGATATACCATTGTAGCACTTTACCCGAGAGTATTACAGGTATCGTTATTTATATTTTATCACTGGGAGGAGCGGTGGCTAGAGATATTGATAAACATAATACTTATGATGAGATCATTAACTAAACACTTATTCTAATAGGGGTAAGCCAAATGATATATAAGTGTAAGGCAATGATATAATCCAAAGATAGAATTAGATACTCATAAATATAGTATAGCTAGACTAAGTGATAAAATAAGAGAAAGATTCCTAAGTCATTCTTATTTACCAAGTCTTTTGTACACCCCAACATATATACTTTCATTTATAGCATAATTAACTCTTCATCTACGTATAAGTAACATTACTAAGGAAAATCAAGAATAGAGCTTGACTCCATTTGCAGTTAGGTCCTACTTGTTTTACAGATGGGGAGTGGACTACAAAGGACTTAATAAGAATGTCACACTCGCGATCTACCACACATGGCCTGGAATGTAGGGTGCATCCGCAGGTAAACAACATATAAGCACCACGCTTACATAATGTCGACCACTTAACTCACTCGAGTATTGAGCTAAGCGCTTTGCGAACTTATGCATAAACTTTGTATCAACTATAACTATATCAAGCATACTATCAAAGCAAACTAAGAACATAATAGATAGGAACATAATATAGTTTAAGCATAAAGTCATAAATAAGAAAGGATACAATGGCTATACTAGCCTCT